CCGCCGGCCCTGAAAATGGAGCGACCTAAGGTGAAATTCTTGCAAATTTTGCAAAACTACAAATTTTTTTTTTGCTTGGGGGGGCTTGGGGGAGGTTCGTTCGAACCCCCCGAACCTGCCTACGGCCTACGGCTGGCTACGGGCCTGGCGTGTGTGCATGTGTGTGTGTGGTGTGGGGGAGGGGAGGGGATGCGTGCGTGTGCGTGCCCGGGCAATGTGTGGATGAATGCATATGTGCGTTTAGGTTATTTCACCCGATAGATGGCGCAGCGATCGTGCTCCGCGATCTAAACATGGCGGGAAATTTGTAAGTTGTCGACTGCCAGCCACATACATTAGACAGCGATGGCTGCTGATCAAACTAAAAAGACGAAGAGGTGCTGCAGACAGCAGCAGCAGGATGTCGTGATGTCAGATATTGTCATTATTGACCATCCAGTGTCTTCATGTTTCTACGAAACCTTCAGTGAGAAGTTGCAAGCAGGTAAATATCACTAAATTATATTACGCTGTGGCTATATGCCCGGCCACAGGCACTTGAAGCGTATCAACAGTAAACATACGCCGCCGCCATCGCGCGCACACGTACACATTAATATAGAGTTATACTCTATATTATGTCTCTCTATATACACTCTATATTAATGTGTACGTGTGCGCGCGATGGCGGCGGCGTATGTTTACTGTTGATACGCTTCAAGTGCCTGTGTGCCCGGCAGCCGGGCACGGTCTTCGTTTTCCTAAATGCCCGGCAGTTCCTAACCCTAACTCTAACCCTAACCCTAACCCTAAACAAAAACCCTAACTCTAACCCTAACCCGAACCCTAAACCTAATCCTAACTCTAACCCTAACCCTTGTTTACTTGAGATAACACTAAAAATTAAAAACTGCCGGGCATTTAGAAAATCAAAGACCGTGCCCGGCAGCCGTCAGATATATGCCGGCTGCCGGGCATATAGCCACTCTGATTATATTATAGTCGGTAAAAAGTAAAATCAATGACAATGTGTGTTGCAACTTGCAATGTAATTCACTATTACTAGTAGTAGTATTAGTATTAATACTATTATTATTAGCTCATCTGACATAGTCAGATCACAGACCCTTGGAGGCTCAAGATTTAAAAGAGTATAAGACTATATTAAGAGCAAAGCGGTCGCTCGCCCGCTCACGAAATTTTTTTTCCCACTTGAGTTCAGGACCACAGCCAATCAGCGCACTCCATTCACTCGACTTCTTTGGAGCAACAATGTAAAATGAATACCCACTATCCCTAACCCATACCCGAACCCTAACACTAACTATAATCCAACCATATATATATATACGAACCATATATTACAAAACACTAGTTCTATGGTGGGTCCGGAACTCAAGTGAGAAAACAAATTTCGCGGCCCACTCGCCCGCTTCGCTCTTAATATAGTCTTATACTCTTTTGAATCTTGAGCCTCCAAGGGCCTCTGGTCAGATGCAGCTTGTAGAATTGCATGAGCGTGCGTCCGTCAGGCCGTGCGTCTGTTCGTGCGTCCGTCAGCAGTTGGGCACAAATCTAAACGGCTTGACGTACGAATTCGAAAGTAGGGACGTGGGGGGGGGGTGTAATCCGAAAACAAGTTGGGATGTTGAAGCTGGGGGTCAAAGGTCAAAGGTCAAGAGGTGTATAAAGGAGGGGAACAGTCCTTCCTCTAATAAGGTATAGGGAGGAAATGCAGAATTGGGCACAATCCTAAACGCGCTCGACCTAGGCTCGTGATAGTCCGGTAGTATCAGCATCATAGTAGGAAAAGCCTCACTGGCGACGAAATTCCTGGGAGGTCCAAGGGTCAATGGGGCACAGGGCAGATTTTAGAAACAATTTGCTGAAGGAACATGTCTGAGAGCGATTGAAAACGCTTTTTTGTCTTCAGCGGTGACTACCATTTCATGCGTCTTTATTGAAAGGACCATGAATGACTTTCTCGCTGACCATGCGAAGAGTAAGGGTCGATACCTCTGACCCTCAAGAGGAGGGTTCACAAAGGACTGAACTGCTTTTGCTATTATTAGAGCCCATACCTGTGTGAATGTGAGGCTACAGTTTCACAGTTGAATTGCAAAGGCTAATGTTTGTTTAACAAGGTTTATGCTCCTTAAATCATATTATTTTCTAAAGCAGTCTGTCTATAGCACCCTGAAGGCTGAATCAGTGAATGCTCGTGTGGGTAGGGGAAAACACGGGGCAGCCCATGGCTGGCACGCTTCTAATCATAATTGTTGCCTGCCAACCTGCAATGCACATGTGTCTGCAATGCATAGAGATTAGGTGGGTGCGAAAGTGTAGCTGATATATTTGTTCGAATTGGCTACGAAAGTCAAACAAGAATAAAGAAGACTTATGTATAAGACGTCTTGCTATGCACAAATGAATTTATCAGCAGAACACCAGACACCAGATGAGCCCTGTCGCACTGCGGCACTTGTTAATTGTAGGTGATAGCATGAGCAAAAGTATGATTAGTTTTTAAATGTGTACTGTGTTGCTTGGGATGTAGCATGTATCAATGTATCAATGTATCAATGCAATGTATGCGTTTATAATTGCCGAAATAAACAGATGGAACCAAAGACGTACCCTAATGATCGTTTTCATTTGTAGCTGCCTGTATTGCAACACCAATCTCAACACCTAAATTACACGCAGCACCTTCAGGAATATCATCTGATATCAATGCAGCTAGTACACCAACTGCAGTCTTCCCATGGGATGAAAGGTAATATGAACTTCCTAACCATAACCTGCTAGAGCAGCTTTTACTCTGAAATATGCTGATAGCGTGTTTGCTTTGCCTTGAAAGAATTCATCCTCATCTCTTATACATCAAAAGCTCAATCATCAATAATCATTCTCATCTACTTTTGTGATTAATTACTTTGTGTGCTTGTATTTCTACAGCCCCCTCCTCCTGCGTCGGCTGTTTAAGACCCCTGTGCAGCGCAGCACACCGAATCGCCTCACGCTGAGCTTGGGAGGCAATCCGGATATTTCCAACATGAGCTGGAGCAGCTCCCTTGCTACATTGCCATCAGACAGCGTTACAAAAAGCAAGGAAGAAGGGCGCTCAAACCACGACAGCCACTGGAATAGCCGGCCGCTCGTGAGTTGATTACGGAAAATTCAGCATACCGGAGCATTAACGGGTGTAATGCTAGCAGTTGTCAATGACATCCTGCTAATGTTCTCATGAATGGCTGTAATACTTTATCATAGTGACAAACTATCAGGAGTGTACAATATCGATATCTATATCATATAGATCTATATATTAATGTACAATATAGATCACTATATTGTAAACTCCTGCAACTATCAATAGAATACATGTGAATTATGAAACTACATTGTACAAGTTACTAGTAGAGTAGACTGGTTTCCACTTGTTTTTTTCTACTTTGTCAGTCTAGTATATATTCTTGCTCTGTGTGTTTAGGGAGCAGCGCGAACTCTCTTCACACCCTGCTCACACGAATCGCCCACGCACGCCGTGCCCATCGACAATGGCATGCTGGCGCCACCTACCAGTGACAATTACAGACAGCAAGTCGAGCCCGACGACGAGCGTGACGACGCGAGTGGTTGCCATGACAATGATCGTAGTGGTCGTCGTGGCAACAAACACAGCAGCGGAGCTGTGGGGGCTGATGAAGGGATGGCAAACAATGTCACGCCCGCACAGGCTTTGCCAGCCTTCCTCAGCCCACAGTCCAATGCCACGCCAGCACAGGCTTGGCCTGCCTCCCCCATCCCACAGTCAAATAATACCACGCCTGCAGAGGCGTGGCCTGCC